TTAGTTGATCCAATACTAAATTCTCTGAACTAACATTATAAGAATTGTGTGGTTAACAGTAAGGAGAATTACAAATTGGATCTGGGAGTTAAAGGGTAAAATGGACTTAGTGGGAAAACACTAAAAAATAAGAGTAAAGGACAAAGTCACGAACTGGCCATAAAAGGGAGAGAAAAAATGGTAAAGAGTGAAATCAGGTTGAACATGCAAATGAGTTGAATTAAGGAAATTTGTCCCAATATTTTGAAATAATTTGAGGATGAAAATCATTAAATTTCAATGAACAAGTTAATAATAAAGTTAAAGTCTTCACTTGAGTCAAGTTGTCCTGGAAGCCAGAGTTTATCCTGGTTTTCATAGCATAAAGCAACTGGGAGTATTCACTGTGCTCCCTGTGTGGGATGCCAGTCCATTGTGAGGCTACCCCCCAGTATTTCATCAGGCTTCCATGATAATTTGCCAGTACTCATTAATACTCCTCAGTGAAGAGAGGCACTGTGAAAATAAAGTGTTTTTGAATGACCCAGTTAGGTCTTGTACCCAGACCTCCTGACCTGGCATCTAGCTCACTAAGCAGTGGACCACTGAGTCTCCTAAGTTAATTACAAAAGTTACTAATTAACCCTTTAACCCGAAAGAGTGACTAGCAATCTAGCATTTCTCCTCACAATATCACCACTGAACCACACATTAATGTCATGAGAATAAAGGAAGTGATCACCAACTAAAGAAACTCTTGATTCATAGACAAATTCTCCTTAACAGCATCCTAGTAAATGCACAGTGAACAGTATGGAGAATATGAAAACCCGGTCCCTGTTAAAGATCAAAGGGTTAAGCTTGCATTTGATTGATGAAGTAACTGGCATGAGTTTGGCAGATCAACCAGAGGGCAAAGTGAACCAAACTTTTAATGTAACCCTGGATAAGTTTCATCACTTTATTGAAAAAAATTATTTGTTACACATAAGTTAAGGTGACACACATGGTTGAGAAGTCAAATAAAATGGATAAATCTTTGTCCATGCTCATATTGACCTTTACATATACCTCAAACACTTGGAGTGGTTACCTGAGTGCCTGCTGAGTGAGCTGTACAACTTTGTAATTAAGTATTTTTGATTGAGTTGATAACACAAATTGGCCACCGTTTGGAGTTTCAAAGCTGATGTTCCAAGGGTTAACCCTTTGTCATTTTCTCTGACGAAGAGCTTATGCTCAAAAGATCTGCTTTGAAACTTTTTACTGTGGATCATTTACTTCATCAACTCAGTTGATAATACTAAATTACTCTGTTTTACTCTCTCACCATAGCAGCACTACAGTTTCTTTACAAACTTACCCCCTTTGTACAACTTTGTGTTAACTTTGAATTTTTTCCAGAAGAGGGGACAAACTAAGTGACAAGTCCTGGCAGATATAATGAACAATAGGTAGCAGCTACAACTTTCCTTTTCAATTTTCCCTTATGAAACTCTGCCCATGTAACATTTTTTTTATCTCAGATAAGTCACACATATTCAGCTTGTTTTGAATTCATACAGAATTTAGGGCAAGCAACACAGAGCTGAAGATCACTTTCATATTCACAGAGCTGTTCTTTGCAGAGACCTTTCATAACAATTTGTCACTTAGTGTGTGTATACCATTACAGTATGCCAGTCCTGGTGTCTTTTGAGCAATGATAGAGTTACTTTGTGACTTTCAAGATTTCTTCTTCATTAAATTAGCCCATGATCTCTGATCATGATCCCCATCCTCATCCTCAAGTTCATATATAGTCTTTGGCTTTTCAGGTTTTAATCGCCTCATCCTTGCTCTCTTCTCTTCTTCTGTCATTTCAGCTGGGTTAATTGGCTGTTTAATTAATTTCAATGGCTTTTCATATCTAATGAAGAAAGATGAACCATCTGGTTGGACCAGCCTGACCTTGTACTTGCGAGAATACACCTTTTTTGGAATTCGGCTAATTGTTGCACTACAGATACTGGAAGAGAAAAAAAACAAATCACTGTTTCTACTTATAATTTTCTGATAAATACAGAGTTTAACATGCATGTTAAATTTTCATTCAGCCGATAATTTTTTCGGGGTTTAGCCAGAAACTCAGTTGTCATCTGAAGATATCTCTAAGAAATAAACATAGGAACAACTTGATTTTTAGCATCATCCACCTACTTCAAAACTTACAGCAGATTTCAAATACATGGAAAATTACATATGGCTTGGAGAAGAGAGTGAGAGAAATAGAATGACTTGGGCATTGATAAAATACCATGATAACGTTCGATTTCTATCGAGTATCGAAAAAAACGATTAGATACGTCCCAATTTCAGGAACCGAGCTTTATGTATACGCGACGCATAAATCTCTCATGAGCTCCTTCGTGTCTCTCTACTATTGCGCCCAGGACAAAAAATCTCCAACGAAAGCTTACCTGACTTGTCTTCTCGCAGAAATCAATAAGTTTAGTTTGCTCAACGATGTCGATGACGGTGATGTGGATGAGACATCTTGGAACAAACATTTCCTTAGTAACCGACAAAATTTTGCTCTGTAATACAAGCAATAGTAAATTAAAGTTAGAAGATATCTTTTAGAAAAAAATCAGTCGATTAGAGGTTAAGATCTTGCTCTAAAATCCGAGAACACTGCGAAAGAGTAGATTTCGCTCACCTTAAGAGCGCCGCCATTATGAATTGAGTTGTAGCGCCGCAGAATTGTAGTACAGTGGGCACGTATTGTAACCAGCAGGGCAATCTCGAGCCCATGGATTATTTGACCCTGTCAGCGGTCGCCAAAGTAATGGTATCATTTAGGGACCATTATCGCTTCAAGGGGCCAAAATGACTCTGGGCTCGAGATTGCATTTTAGTTTCAGATCCCACGGTCGAGCTAGTTACACCGGAGGACCTGGGTTTAACTGGTATGAGATTAAATTTGTGGGTTCTCTATAGTTATAGATCATGTAAATTTAAAACAAAGTTAAAACTTGAATTTGTTTTCCATTTTAAATTTTGCAAAAAAAAAAACATTTTGAAACCATCAGAGAATTTAGAGAAGAGAGAATTTTCCCAGAAGGTCGTTATCAGAAGTGAAACAAATATTCCTAAAGAAATATCTTAGCATGCATTAAATCCTAACTTTGAGCTGAGGTCTAAGGCTGTTAACCTTGAAACTTCTTTTTCCCTTCCCCCTCCCCCCCACCTTTTTTGTTGTTGTTATTGTGGAAAAGCCGCTGTACAATTGTACACTATTGTGATCGGCGCGTGATCCGGCGCGTGACATTCACGCGCTGTTAGCGACAAGTTAATAAGAAAATGAGTCTATATCTTCCGTCAGAGAGATAACAGAAACCACCCTACCTACATAGATGGTAGCTTCCGAGAGTCTTTGAAAGAGATCGATTCACAGAATGTGTAAAGCGTGGCTTATCTCGTGCTTTATTGTCGTGCAAGTACTAAGTACTGAAGGTGAGATGAGAAACTGGCTCTGCTGTTTACATTTAATTTCTGGTGACCTGAGGGATAATTTTACATGAACAGTAGTTCTGATCAACCTTTCGTGTACATGTTTATAAGGAAAATGTTATCAAATTTTGTTGCTTGGAATTTCAATGTATTCTTAAACCAACCATTAACTGTGGTGTGATTTTCAACTTCCTTGTCGATGGGTTCATGAAGTACAATTCCCTTATAGCAAGAGGTTGATTCTAACTTACGAGTGCTGATAACAAAGATAAATTTGTGCATGCAGGCTTCTTCTGCCTAAATTCCAAAACAAAAAGAAATTAACGCGCACTTTTTTAAGCAGTCTCCTACGCAATGCAATTCAACAAGACCTTTACGGAAAAAGTGACGAGAAATTGCAGTTTCGAAATACAGAAATAATTTCCATATATCTCCAATTATGTCACCGGTAGATGTGATGAAGGCATGCCCTTGTCATTTGCTGAACTTAACATCTTTCACCGGTGGCAAAACATCCAAATGTTCTTATCCTGAAGTCCATCACAGGACCAAAACGTACATGTAACAAAATTGTGCATTGACTCTCTAATCTTAGCATTATGTCTCGCGAGATGTTTGCTGGTGAACCATCTAAACCATCTTGAAAAAAAGAGGGGAAAAAAATAATTTTTTGTTCTTTTTTTTCTGGGGGGGGGGGGGGGGTCTAACTGGCAAATCGATCTACTCTAGACAATTTGTTCACAGACATTTAATACCTCTTAAATGCAAGACGAGAAAAAAAAAATCACTCCTCTCTTGTCCTGTGTCTTGTCAGTGCTGCTTTGTCTCTTAAGCTGAATATACCAATACATGTTACTAAGAAAAGATAACAAACTAAACAGCATTGAAAAAGGAAAACTGGGGTCAGGAGGAGTAGGATATATTAGTTCAGGTTGAAAACAAGGGTAGATTTCCATCAGTTATATATCTCTGTCTACAGTTTTGGTTGTAGCTCACTTAGCAACCAGTTGTTTGAAAGCCAATTAGCACTAATCCAAGGTTAAATTTTTAATTAAAGTTTTGTTATCTCATTATTCGAGAGTGTTTTTGGGATAATTTTCTCTAGTCTTTTTAAAATATCCAATCATCAAATTGCAGACTAAAAGAATTAAAATGAATTCTAAAACTTTCAGATATGAAGTCAGATTTCACACTAACCCAGTGGGTCATCTTAAGCCAGCTTTGAACAACCTGGTCCTGACATAACAGTCAGGAGCGGCAAAATCATGGGCTGGAATGCTTCATTTACACCTCTATTTTTAATTTGAAGGTATCAAACTGCATCTAAAGTCAAACAAGGACAGAGTTCAAATTAATGAAACTACACATTTTGAGTTTACAGTAACAGAAAGGTAATATTGCTATTGCTTAGTACTTCACCTGCAGTATTAAACAGTTTCATTGATAATAGTAGTATATTTAATTTTATAGGTGATATTGATATGTTATGTTATAATAATTGTTATTTACTTCGTCTAAGACTGAAGACTCTTGGCCAGGGCTCAAACCCAGAAGTTTCAGTCTTGAATGTGGTGCTGAGACTGGCCAAGGCTCAAACCTAGAAGTTTCGATCTTGAATATGTCATACCAGCCATTGATCAAGCCACTAAATTAGTCTGTAATTCTTAAAAGTAGTATGATTGACTCCCTATGTGTCAAATGGAGATTCCCTTGATTGGTATTCCTAAGAATCTTCCATGATTCCTCCATCCATTTACCACATACCTTCTCCTTTTCAAGTGATTGTCAAGGAAGGCATGTAATGCGAATCAAATGTTTACAACTTGTCGAATGGCTTGTTTACCTCATGGGATGCTTTCAAAACTGTGTTCTCTCCTTTCCTTAACAGTGGTAAAGCATCTTCAAATGTTACCATAGTGGTAATCATAAATAATACCAAGCCAGAAATAATTAAGGTGCCCAAAAAGGTGAGCTTACAATGTAGCTTTTCCAAACACATCACAGACTAACTCTGTTTAACCCTTTCACTTCTAAGATCTCATTAGTAATTCTCCTTACTGTTTGCCATACAATTCAT